AGATTCATTTCATGTCCGCATGTAACAACAACTTCGTGGATAGGGAATTGAATGGTTGTAGATGGGGTTATCGATGAGCGAATAACGGCGGCAACGGCGAGAAAAGTTGCAAAAAGTCTCCTGTGGATTTCGTGCTTCTCTTTGTCCCAGTTTTGCTCCATCTCGCATGGTAACTTCACACGATATCACTCGGTCAGAAATAAGTTCCCGGTGGCTTCATGTGAGGCATCAACTTTCACTAACACGTGCGACTCCATCTGCACTCGTTGGGCCGTGACGACACAAGCATTAGCTTGGTGAAGCCAACGCGTGGTAGGAGAATGACTGGGATCGTGCAGATGCTGTAACTGAGCTAGAACCTAGCTGATGTAACTATTGCGCATCGCAATCATTGCAACCAACGTCAAGTCACATCAAGTCCAAGCACAGATAATAATCGCGGTTCGTCTTACTCCCGTGCTGCCTCACTGCTCACCCATGCGTAAACAGGCCAGTGCCCCAGCGTCTCTGTGAACCCATGGCAGGATTACGCGCCAGACATAGCGGAGCCAATCTATCGAGGTACTTTGCCATGTGTGTGATAGGTCACTCCGATCACGACTGGTTCGGTGGAGCTGTCCAAAACTTTTTGACATGGGAACGATACCAATCATTCCAATCCCGTCTCGTATTACCCCTACTATGGAGTAGGCAGATCCTCCTCTGGCCCCTGATGTCCATCATCTCCACACCGGTATGCAGCTGGGGCACCCGCTCGCATCAGTCACGTTGTACGGTTGCATCGGTATCTATATTAGCTCCCGCGCCCCTCCCGCTTCATGAATCGCATCTCACCCTCATGCTACGCCGCAGAGTTGGGTCGGACCCTGTATCGACTCTCCAAGTAGTATCGGAACAGCGATCACGTCTCACTAGCGGCTCCTTTGCTGGTCGTGGCTGTTGGGCCGAAGCAATCATCCCAAATGCACTTCCCGCGTCTTACGCGCAGTTTGATTACGCCCCCTTGCACATGCAGACTCAACGCGTGGCCGATCTTGGCCGATCCATCAGACCTCTCGGTGCTTCTTGACTCAGTGCGCCGCAGATAAGGCCCAATTCTTACGTCTTGCTGCTGGATCTTGTCAATGCCCCCACCTATTGAGTCCTCTCCAATGCCACAGCAGCCATCGGGACCAACACAGAATACGTGGCGTGTCTCAGCCAAATGTTGATATGGATCTTGCAGCTTACTCTGTCCAAGATTACCCTGTATATCCCGACATGCAGAGTGGGGTGGTCTGCATTAGAACACACGGGCCGTGAATCCGAGGGACCTTTGGAATGGACACTTCAGCCGACGTTCACATTTTGCACGCCAGTCAAGGAGGTGATACACAAAGCGGACTTGTAATTGTTTAATGCTTCCACACTTGCCCTACCAAATATGACACAAGCAAATACCTCCAACGATTGTCGTTTGCAGAATCACAATTAGTCAACTGCCATTTAAAACCAGTTCTCCGGCAAAAGTAAAACTTTGGAATAAAGTTCTGATTTGACATAAAATATATTGCCAAGAATGCAGTCAAAAGTCTATCAAAAGCGGGACAACAAGGGCATATCTGGCATCCACATGCTCCGTACTACTTGTATCACAGTCTTGTGAGACACTCTGCACAGGAATTGAGGCATTTTGTGGAGTTTCTACCATCATTGCGTCTATAGCCATTCAGTGACACCTGCGGTAGAGGTGGGCCGTGGCGAATCCAGCAGCTCCATGGTGCTCAGAGCTTCACAGTACCCATTCTCCTACGGCATTACCTAGTTTCTTACGCGGCGGGCCTCAAATAGCATGGTTCAAGTACCATGCCCTATCCTAGCAAAAATATTACAAGTGTTAGCTTCCCCGTGCGCTGTTTGGCATCCCCCGTGGTCATGAGTCGGTTTCATATGTCATCGTAGCTCTCTTGCCTCAAGCTTCGCTGCAGGCCACACCCTTGTCTCGGAAGAGCGGAAAGCCTACGGGAGAAGCTCTGATTAGCAATGACCTTGTACTCGCAGGGTTGTAAGACATATCTACACCCTGCCCTGTAACCCCGCACAATTGCCGGGGCGCCGATCTTTGACATGGCATGGGTCAAGAGCGCCTCAACTGGGAATCCTTTGGGCCAGTTTGAAACTTGCCTGTTGGGTAGTAGCGTAGAAGAGGTACTAGCATGGTATATATCATCACCGACCAACATTGACATGATCGAGATTCCGGTCTTCCAAGAGATACTCCTTGTCATAAAATCTGCTGTCTCCTCGAGAGCTGGATATCTTGTTGCCACCACCCACATCCGCAAACATCCATAACCACTACTCTCCATCATGTTTCTTGTATTCCTCCAGGTCTTCCTCGTCCTTGTGGGCATCATCCTCTGGCGCCTCTCTGTTCGATGGAAGGCCCCGCGCGATCTACCCCCTGGCCCAAAGCCTCTGCCCCTTGTTGGCAACATCTTTGATCTCCCTCCTCCAGGCGTACCAGAGTACCAACACTGGATCAAGTTCAAGGACACGTATGGCCCCCTCAGCTCTGTCACGGTACTCGGAACACACATGATTCTGGTCCATTCCCACGAGGTATTACAGGATCTTATTGTCAAGAGGTCAACAAAGACGTCTTCGCGGCCGAAGCAGCACTTTGCCGGAGATCTATGTGGCTTCGACGTACTCACACCAAGTCTTCCATATAATACTACTCATCGACTGCATCGCAAGTTCATGCACCAGCAGATGGGTACCAGACTCATCTGCGAGAGATTCTGGCACGTTCAAGATGTTGAATCACAGCGCTTCTTACTTCGGGTTCTGGACGACCCTTCCAACATTATTAGTCATATCAAGACGTAAGTGCATCCGTTGTCCCAGACCTCAACTGACATACTGACTTGGTTTCATAGTGAGGCGAGTGCCATCATTCTGAGAGGTTACTCCATTGAGCCGCATAAGGTTGACCCTCTAGTCACCTTGATTGAACACATGATGGGTAACTTTTCTGATGCCCTTGTCCCTTTGACTTGGTCTGTCGATCTTTTCCCATTCCTTAAGCACCTTCCCGCCAGTTTCCCAGGCGCATCTTTCAAAAAGATTGCACAAGAATGGAGGGAAAGGGTTCGCATGGCAGCAGACATTCCCTACTCTTTTGTGGTGCGACAGATGGCAAATGGGAACCCTACATCTTCATATGTGTCTTCGTTAGTCACCGAGTACAGCAAGAACCCCAAGAACAACTGGAAGCCCACCGAGAACGAAGTGGAGATCATCAAAAACAGCGCCGCCATTATCTACGGAGGAGGTGCTGATACAACTGTCTCCACCTTGAGTGGCTTTGTGCTCGCCATGTTGCTCTTCCCCGAAGTTCAACGAAAGGCTCAGGAGGAGATTGACAGTGTCGTTGGTTCCGACAGGCTGCCTGAGTTCGAGGACAGGGAAAACATGCCATATCTCAACGCCCTGATCAAGGAGACACTTCGATGGCTTCCTGTTGTGCCAGTTGGCACTACTCATGTTACAGAGGAAGAGATGTTCCACTCTGGCTACCGGATTCCCAAGGGGAGTTTTCTTCTGCCATCAATCTGGTGGTTCACACACGACCCAGCTATTTACCTCAAGCCTGAGGCCTTTGACCCAGAGCGCTTCTTGGAGCCACGCAACGAACCAGATCCAGCAAACCATGCCTTTGGTTACGGCCGCAGGATCTGTCCCGGACGATACCTCGCTGATGACAATCTTTTCCTCACAATATCTCGACTGCTGGCCACTTTCGAAATCAGCAAAGCGGTGAATGAGAGGGGCAATGAAATCGATGTCGAAGTGGAGGTAACAGCCGGCCTAATTAGCCACCCCAAGACCTTCCCTTATGGCATCAAGCCCAGAAGTGCTCGCCACGTTGAAATTATTCGATCTACAGAGAGTAAATATCCATGGGAAGAGCCAGATGTTCGTCATCTTGAGGAGGATCATCTGCAATACCTGAACATCAACTAGTGGTGGAATGAAGGGGGTTGATAGTTATATTACATGCAAAGGGCATGGTCAAGAATAAGGATTGGACATTAACACCTTGGTAGGAGATGGGTATGTGGCTATAGAAGTTTGTAGAACATGCAATGCGAAGCAACAGGGGATTTGAGGGCCACAAACTGGAAAGGGGATTGCCGCAAATGCTTCGTGATCAAACATAAGCCCTCGATGATAGATCCCATATGATGTTCTCAAATTATCAGTCCTATAGCATATATGCAAGAGTGACACATTGAGCAGAGGTAAAAAAGGCATGTGGGTGAGGTTAAACATGACTCCTCTACTCGTTCACATCCATACCTACAGGAGGTGGGAAACGGATTGAGGAGCGGGCGCCACAGATGGGAGAGTTTGCGGACATAGTAACTATTATCGAGGCCTAAGTCTCAACAACCAACAGCGGGTTTAGCTCAGTTGGGAGAGCGTCAGACTGAAGTCAAACTTCAATCATACGATATCTGAAGGTCATGTGTTCGATCCACATAAACCGCAACTTGTTTTTTGCCTCTGGTCGTTATAACCTACCCTAAACTCATCTAAAATTTCCCTTAAACTTCTTCTTTATTAATTTTTTATAACATCTTGCGAGGTATATATATATATATTAAAAGAAGATATCTTAAATTTTAATTATTTAAATCTTTTTTTATTGCTCTAGTCTTAAGCAATTATTACCTTGTTCTTGCTCTAGGTTGTATTTTGTGGTGGTAACCTCTCGCTCTTGGAATCATGTCTCGAAACGACAGGACTGCATGAACTAGGACCAGGTCTAATTCCTACTCTCACGCGCCTTGTTGCGCATTTTAATCCTGCCTAAAAGACTCAAAGTACTCGCAAGGTCATAGTAGGCCTCTCAATTAGCACTTTTCCTGCCAAACTCACATCTCTCCTCTAACCATCCCCACCACGCTTCAACTTGACCGACATTTTCTTCACCACTCACCAACCAATCACAAGGCGTGGTGGCAGAGTGGTCTAATGCGATAGACTAGAAATCTATTCTCTTCGGAGGCGTCTGTTCGAATCAGGCCCACGTCGATTAACCTTCTTTTTGCTTTATCTTGTTTGTTTTTGTGGTTGTGGATGAGTTGACTTCTTTTTGGTATGTTTTCAGGATGACGAGATGAAGTTAAATGGTGTTGACCACGAATAAGGCAAGAGCAGATAAAAACATAATGAACTCTATAATTAAGAATCCATGATTCTTGTTCATCATGTGGCAACAGACTGGCCTTGATGTACTTGCTTTCTTTTTGCTGGTTTGGGTGGTTGGTTTCTTGGCAATATTCCCCTTTTTTTCTTCGCGCTTCGGCCTTCGGTCTTCGGTTTTACTTCTTCGTCCGAATCTGCATGTCCACTCAGACAATAAGGAAGCTAAGATGGCTTGGATAACGCCCAATGCAATAGCGCAAATACCCCAGATTCACAAGCCGTTGATGACCCCATTCTAGCAGCTAATGCAACAGACTTTCAAGAAGGAATCTTGCCCTGGTCTTTCTCTAACGAAACGTCTGTTCCTACTGGCTACATGTGTGTAAGACCATGCATGTAAGAATGGTTGACATGTCTGCTCATAACTGACCCGGACGCGAGGATCCTTGAGCAGAGGCTTTATTGGACACCTTCACGAAGCGCCTGAGATTCCTGCCATGCATGACTCATGTTGTTGGTCTCATGCTTCGCGCGCCTTGGGAATCAGGCGAATACGCGAGTACCAATACGACGCAGATTTTGCTAGAGGGGCGTCGGCCAGAAAAGATGTCCGACTGCCGACATATCTTGGCTAATCCACACCTCCACGGCAAATGAAGACCGATGAAAGCTCAATGATGACTCAATTTGGAGTCTCGAGAAGCACATTTATAAGCTTAGATTTGTCTTTGCTGACAAGCTTGCCAAACTCGGCTCACTCTCCGAGGTCTGACGTAACAGGAAATAACGTTGGTCTCTTACGAGAGCATGCAACTTCATGCCGCCTTTTGAGTCTGTATATGCGGGACCCTGTGCTTCTTTGACCCACAGACGGTGATAAGACTGCCTATAATGAAAGCAGGCGAGCCAGTATATCCGAAGAACCGTGATCGTATGACCATTTATGACTACAAGAAACTCCGCCATATCCGTGAATCCGAATTTCCGTGGACTTATAAGGCTTGCAGTGTTCTTGATAGATATAGTGCTATTGTTTACATCGGTCTATCAAGTGCCGAGATAAACGATCAGTCATGAGACAGACTTCAGTCTTGCCCGCCTTCGCGGCTTTGCTCGCTGGAGCTGTTGCCAAGTCCTCTCATAAGCTCTTCTCTGGAGCAACCATCATTGGATGGGATGATTCAACAAACCTCCCTCAAATCACACGCGATAGTTACCTCCTGATAAACGACGATCGAATTGCAAGCATCACCAAGTCAAAGCCTTCGTCTTTACCTGCCGATACTGAGATCATCGATGCCACTGGCCAGATCATTAGTCCCGGTTTCATCGACACCCATCGACACGGTTGGCAGACGGCATTCAAAACCCTGGGATCAAACACCACCCTGGCCGAGTACTTTGGACGATATGGAGAGTACGCCGCTGCTTCTCACTTCACTGCCGACGACGTTTATTGGGGACAACTCTCCGGGCTTCTGGAGGCTCTGAACGCTGGTGTCACAACCTCGCTTGACCATGCTCATCATACATGGTCCAATGAGACTGCTTACGCTGGAGTGAATGCCTCCATCGAGAGTGGTGCTCGAGTCTTCTGGTCATATGCCTTCCATAACGTCCCATCGTTGAATTACACCGTGGAAGACCAAATCCCCAACTTTGTGGAAATCGCAGATGGTGACCTTCTCAAAGATACCAACGTTGAGCTCGGCATTGCCTACGATTTCTTTGGCCCCAACCCTCCTCCTGTCGCCAAAGAGATTGCACGTCTCACCCAAGAGTACAATGTTTCGGTGCTGACAACCCATGCTGTATCGGGCCCTTTCGGCATCACCAATATGCCGGAGGACGTCCACGCGTTGGGCATTCTCAACACTTCTGTGCCGGTGGTCTTCTCTCATGGAAGCTTTATAACAGCCGGTGGCGCGAATCTTCTTCGCAAGACAAACCAATACCTATCGATCACACCCGAATCCGAGATGCACTATGGCCACACGCATCCGTGGTCCTATTTCATCCAGGATCAATCTGCCCTTGGTGTCGATACTCATTTCACTTTCTCGACGGACATCTTGACCCAGGCGAGAATTTGGCTCCAGAGTGCTCGTTACTATTTCTTTGACAAGGTTCTCAACAACTTGGAAGTCCCCAGGAACAATCCCATGAGTGTTGTGCAAGCCTTCTCTCTGGCAACACGTGCCGGTGGACTGGCACTTCGACGACCGGATATCGGAGTCATCAAGAAGGGAGCAAAAGCAGATTTGATCGTATGGAATGCGGCTGAGTCTCCAGCTCTCCTGGGATGGACCGATCCGGTGGCAGCCGTGATGCTGCACGCTAGCGTTGGGGACATTCTGCACGTCACCGTGAACGGAGATTTTGTCAAGCGAGATGGTAAACTGACGGCGAAGAACTACAAAGAAACAAAGAAACAGTTCCTGGAGAGTGCCAAGAAGATCAAGGATGCTTACCGGAAGTTTGACTATCCTGTTCTTGAGGGCGAGTTCAACAACGGTGGTTACTCTTACGCATCAGCTCAGACAGCAGATACTGAGAGGGGTGAGGGAGATGGATACGGAGAACTGTACCTGTAAGCTTAAGTCTGATTGAAATTCAGTTAGACATAATCTTTTGCATATTACTGTAATAAGGCATCTTTCTACTTCCATTACCCTGTCTCGTAGCTGCCAAGCGGAAGGACAATAAGCTAATCCGGCATGTATATACCAATGACTAAACGCTAGCTTGGATCCTTAATTGCAGTTGCTCCACTAGTCTGAGTATGTAGCCCAGCCGGAACAGAGAAATAGGACATATTGAGATAGAACAACGCAGCGTAGCCTGAAGTCGATCAAGCTGCAGTCCTTGGAGAGCCCAGATATACAATTGTAAGGAATAACCGGATACACTATCTTCAATATCACTGCCAAGATCTTTGGACAGGATGCCACGCACTACGATTTCAGTGTCATCAGCTCCGAAAAGACCCTCGCCATTTCAGCCGTGCATGACTATGCCGCTGCTTACGCTAGAGGAGATGAGAACAAGATTCTGGTCACCTTTATCAACGCGACAATGGCCGGCCACTTGAAGGTCGAGCAAGCAGCTGGTCCAGGATGCCCTGAGTGCTGCCGATCTCAACCATTACAGCGTGGAAGCCTATGGTGGAGTTAACAACATTGATATCTGCATCAGCAACCGAGCCACAGGCTGCACTTCAGAATTTTCTCGTCAAGGTGCACCTCAAAAGCGTCACACATTAGACACCATAACTTGACATTGTTGGTGATGGGTAGCGCTCTCATCTAAGTCAATGGGAGTGTCGAGCAGTGAGAGGAAGAGCACGACTTTCAACATACCTACCTAAGGATAGAATTGAGATAGTTCATCACACTATTACAGTCACATGCATGAGCGTTTAATAGGTGATTTATTCTCTAATAACCTACTCTGTGAACGGTTTCATTACTACCTCGAGACCTTGAGTTTGATCGCCGGTAATGTGGCGCTTGTCTAACTTATATTGGACACATAATTTTAGAGCAAAGCCAGTAGCTCCCAGTACGTCTACTTAATTACATACATAGTTGTACAGTAAGCCATGTCCATACTCTTCCATCGAGTGCGTTATCCAGTCGACCCTCGACTTGTCCTCCGACATGATGGCAAACAATCGCGCCTCGTCCTCAACCACTCAATAAGCTCTGTTGAGCTTTATTGGTCTGGTGGTCTAGTGGTATGATTCTCGCTTAGGGCAAACCCTACAGCACAGCTTGCGAGAGGTCCCGGGTTCAATCCCCGGCCAGACCCTTGAGTGTTCTCTTTTTGCTGTTCTGTGGGACTTGATGGAACTTTCTTTTTATTTAGGACCAGGGTGAATTATCATGGGTCTTTGAGGACCGTGCACTACTCAATGTTTGTCGAGATTGATAAGATAATCTGATAATGTGTGGGTAATGAGAAAAGGGAATGGTGGATGGTCGTCAACTCTTATCAATCTGGACTTGTCAGACATGAGAGTTAACATACTGCATGCCGCATATTACAACCAAACCTCGTAGATTATCCCAATCTTGTTGAGCCCAACATCAGTCGATCGACAGGGGCCGGATAGTCCGATTCCGGCCGGCATTTGTCTACCCCACCTCGTACGATTCAAGGTGGCTGGGTTATTTAACGCTCTCCTTCTCTCCACCGCCTTTACAACGTCACACACGTGAAAGAAAACGACGATATATTTCCTTTCAGAATGGCCAATTCAGGGCTATACATCGCTGTTGCGACGGCTCTTGTCGTGGTCGGCTTGACCTTTGGCATTCCTTTGTTCTTGGCCGAGTACTTCCCTTGGCAGAGCTTGTACAAGCAGCGGCACGGCAGACCTACCGTACGCACCGAGTCGTACAAGGGCAGGACTGCACTCATTACTGGCGCCAATGGAGCATTCGGTTCAAGAGCCGCCAAGCTCTTTGCTCATCGCGATGTCGAGACTCTTGTTCTTGTCGACGTGAAGAACTGCGGGGAGGTCAAGGAGCAAATCGAGAAGGAGCTGACTGATGCTGGAAAGCCCATCCCCAGCATCTTGGTCTGGGAAGCCGATCTCATGTCCTTTGCCGGTTGTCAAGAGCTTGGAAAGAAGGCACAAGAACTGGAGCACCTCGACCACGTCTTGATGACGGCAGGCATCCTCGCCTTCAATCGCCGCGAGTCTCCTGAGGGCTGGGAAACCTGTAAGTCTAACACTCTGGCCTTACAGGATGATGCTAATTACCTGCAACGCAACAGCTATCCAAGTCAACTTCCTTTCTGGTGCCCTTGTCTCTCTTCTCTTGCTTCCACTGCTCAAGTCCTCTCCGTCCAACCCCAACCCTCCTGTTCTTACCTTTGTC